ATCAAAATTTTTGGTCTGCTTAACCTTCTGGAATCTAAATTTTTGGTCTGCTTAACTTTCTAGAATCTAAATTTTGGTCTGCTTTAACTTTCTAGAATCAAAATTTTTGGTCTGCTTAACTTTCTAGAATCTAAATTTTTGGTCTGCTTAACTTTCTAGAATCTAAATTTTGGTCTGCTTTAACTTTCTAGAATCAAAATTTTGGTCTGCTTAACCTTCTGGAATCTAAATTTTGGTCTGCTTAACTTTCTAGAATCTAAATTTTGGTCTGCTTAACTTTCTAGAATCTAAATTTTGGTCTGCTTAACTTTCTAGAATCTAAAATTTTGGTCTGCTTAACCTTCTGGAATCTAAATTTTGGTCTGCTTAACCTTCTGGAATCTAAATTTTGGTCTGCTTAACCTTCTGGAATCTAAATTTTGGTCTGCTTAACTTTCTAGAATCTAAATTTTGGTCTGCTTAACTTTCTAGAATCAAAATTTTGGTCTGCTTAACCTTCTGGAATCTAAATTTTGGTCTGCTTAACCTTCTGGAATCTAAATTTTGGTCTGCTTAACTTTCTAGAATCTAAATTTTGGTCTGCTTAACTTTCTAGAATCTAAATTTTGGTCTGCTTAACTTTCTAGAATCAAAATTTTGGTCTGCTTAACCTTCTGGAATCTAAATTTTGGTCTGCTTAACCTTCTGGAATCTAAATTTTGGTCTGCTTAACCTTCTGGAATCTAAATTTTGGTCTGCTTTACTTTCTAGAATCAAAATTTTGGTCTGCTTAACCTTCTGGAATCTAAATTTTGGTCTGCTTTACTTTCTAGAATCAAAATTTTGGTCTGCTTAACTTTCTGGAATCTAAATTTTGGTCTGCTTAACTCTCTAGAATCTAAATTTTGGTCTGCTTTACTTTCTAGAATCAAAATTTTGGTCTGCTTAACCTTCTGGAATCTAAATTTTGGTCTGCTTAACTTTCTAGAATCTAAATTTTGGTCTGCTTAACTTTCTAGAATCTAAATTTTGGTCTGCTTAACTTTCTAGAATCAAAATTTTGGTCTGCTTAACCTTCTGGAATCTAAATTTTGGTCTGCTTAACCTTCTGGAATCTAAATTTTGGTCTGCTTAACCTTCTGGAATCTAAATTTTGGTCTGCTTAACTTTCTAGAATCTAAATTTTGGTCTGCTTAACTTTCTAGAATCTAAATTTTGGTCTGCTTAACTTTATAGAATCTAAATTTTGGTCTGCTTAACTTTCTAGAATCTAAATTTTGGTCTGCTTAACCTTCTGGAATCTAAATTTTGTACTGCTTAACTTTCTGGAATCTAAATTTTGGTCTGCTTAACTTTCTAGAATCTAAATTTTGGTCTGCTTAACTTTCTGGAATCTAAATTTTGGTCTGCTTAACTTTCTAGAATCTAAATTTTGGTCTGCTTAACTTTCTGCAATCTAAATTTTGGTCTTCTTAACTTTCTAGATTCTAAATTTTGGTCTGCTTAACTTTCTGCAATCTAAACGTTGGCCATTATAAATACATTTTCCGAGCTCAGTTTACAAAAAAAAGAAAACAGAGTGAGAAAAGTCGAGTTGAAACTTGAGCAAGAACAAAAGGAAGACGAAGCAGAAGCAAGGAAAGGCGAGTCGACCAAGACGAAGTAGGAGAAGAAGGATTTCGGTCTCCTCTCCTCCCCATACATATACACATCGAACTCTCGGCCCAACAACTAAGAAGAAAAAGTAGGAGGAGGAGAAGGAAGAGAGCATCGGGCCATGAGAGCAGCAAAAACGGAGGCCGACGGGAGGAGTGGAGAAGCTGAATTCGGCCTCTTGCAATCGAGACTCTTCTATCTCACCATCGAATTTCCATCAACACCACTTTGTCCAATAGATATCTCAACTTGAGTGGTCACTTTGAAAAAAAAATTCTTTAGTTTCTCATTATGCAACTTTTATTTTGCTAGCGTAGATTTTTGATCTGTTTGGCTTCGGTTTTGGCCTCCCCAACTTTATAGAAGGTTCCTTCTGGCCTATAGCTAAAACGATCGAAAAATAATAAATAAAATGAAAAATTCAGCGGCGTAGATGGCTTCGAGCCTTCTCATATTCCCTACTTCAAAAAGGCGCAAGCAAATTTGGTCTTAATGGCAGAGCTATAAAAAAGACACTTCTGTCAGATGAAATTGAAACCTCAAATTCGAAAAAACATCGAATGAATGAGATTTGTAGCGATTCCAGGTCAAAAATCAAACAAAAAATAAATAAGCAGAACTGAGAGTTAGAAGTAGCTCATATACATTTTAAAGCGCTTAAGATTTGCTAAAAAACAAAAGAAATAAGTAAAACTTGGTAAGGAGATATAGGTTGAAGGAGCCAAACAGCTGCCTCGGAGCCCATTTTGACGTCTTCTCGGCTTGGCCATTTGTCACTCTGGCACTTTGGTTGTGAACATCTCCGTTCTTCCCTCCCTTTTTTTTGAATCTCAATTTGGATGGAGTTTCGTTTTTATTCCAACAAAATTTTGTTTTCTTTGAGTCAAAAAACCGTCGAGTCGTCTGAGAAAAAGTGGACTTGTGATGAATGATAATCGCAGAACTTCTTAAAACCCACATTTTTTTTCTTTTCGAGATAGTCTAGAAAGCTTCTAGGAAGAGGAGTAAATGAAGCAGAAGAAGTAAACGTTCAGAAATATTGAACGGAAATGAAAAAAGCAAACATCTGGTGGGAACAATGTATGAAGTCAAAGATTTTTTGTTCTTTTTTCGTTTTATGAAGAAAAGTGAGTGAATAATTTTTTTTTATTCGATTTAATTCGATTTAGCTGGCTCTGAAATCAATCCAAAATACTCAAATTTATTGAAAGTTACTCAGAAAGGTGTGTCTGATAACTTTATAACTTCTCTAAAATCAAAAAAGGCTTCAAAGAGCCTAGGATACGACTTTTTTCCAAAGCTCAAAAAACAGCTTCACCCTCCTCCAACCGTCACAGACAGAGCTCTCATCGAAGACCTCCAAAATAACTATAAATAGCTTGGAAAGAAGGAAAAAATAGATATGAATATAAAAATATACGGAGAGATAGGAAAGAAAAAAGGAAGAAGAGGCAAGAAAGATATCCACGACGGCGCCGCCACACGTGCATGGAATTGCATTAGGCCGTCGTTTGGATGGAGAAAAACCCCAGGGCGAAGAAGAAAAAAAATGATGGCCGTGGAGGCGTGGCTCTGAGCAAGATGTGGGCTCTGTGAGCATCGAAATTTGCTCCTGAACGAGGCGAAAGCTCAGATTTCAAGCGTTCGAGAGGGTCACTTCAATTTTTTATTCGTTTAAAACGGCTGTCTGAGGATCCTGAAAGTATGATACACGAAAACGAAAGGTTCTGGGAAGCCTGAAAAAATTCTCAAAGGTTCAAAGCGAATTCAGAACGAGCGTTCAGAATGAACGTCCAAAAATACTTTTCCGAAATAACATTTATTTTTTCGGATCTGCAATAATCATATAAAGATTCCATTTTGAAAAAAAAAGTTTGGGGAAATTTTTTGAAAATTCGTTTCACATCAAACTAAAGATTTTTTGCGTTGAAACCTGAAAAATTTTAACTTCTGCCGGGTTTCTGATTCTATCTGTTTTTATTTTTCCCAATATAATTTTTTTAATTTCTCCGACCGTTGCATCAGTTTTTTTCCGCTTTTAAGTCCAATATTTAAAGAAAAGTTCATTTTTTCGCTTAGCCCAACAAAAATTTTCATGATTTTTTGGTTTTTTTCTTAATAAAATCTGTAGTTTTAATCAATCAGTCATTTAATTGAACGATTTGTGTTCGAACTTTCTCAAATCAGACTCGAGAAAGGTCCAAGATCAAATCTAAATGATGTTGCATAATTTGCGCTCTGGTGTACGGCCAGCGGGGCGGGAGATTTGAATTCGGCGGGTCGGGGCCGACGCCATCGGCTCGGGTCACATTGGGCGTCCGTCGTTTATTGCTGTCCTGCTTCATCATAATCTGCGCCTATACCGAGCCTTCTTTCGTTCATTTCCCGTGATTCCATGCTATTTGAAGCGATTTTCCTATATGCGTTCGCCTGTTTAAATCAGCTTTTTCAATGTTCCTTTTTTCATTATTCCACAAATTCGGCTCTTTTTCTCTTCCTTAGGTTTTAGGCAGATCTAGAAACACTTCTAGCTGTAGTTAAAAGAGTAAATATGATTATAAAAGCTCTTCATCGATCATTTTAACGAACTTTTTTGAAGAAATTGTAGGCTTTTTCTAGTTTTACAACGTCTTAAACAAAATTAGCAGAGTTCATGCCGTTTTTGGTAAAGAAACCTCAATTTCATCATTTTTTTTTCCCCTACAGTTTTGAATCGTGTCGTTCGGAAATCCGCTAAACAACCGCTTCAAAGCAAAAAGACGCTGAAAAAAATACAGTCTGCAGAAAATACAGTCCTTTTAAAATGACACTGATTCTAATTCAAATCTTAGAAAACGCAACGCGGACGCAACGCACCTAATTTTGAAACTTTGGCCTAAAATGACGTCATTCTCGAAGAGTCAATCAAATTCTAGCTTTTTCCTAATTTTTGCGATTTTCCAATTCACTTTCAGTTAATGATGAATTGAATAGCGATTCAGATCGAAAAAGAGACACCAGAGCTCTCAGAAAAGTTTCAGGAAAGCTTCGTAAATTTTTAACTTTTGCAGGAAAAAGGCAAAGGAAGGGGCCGAATTTGAATGAAGCCATTGAAAATAATTTTGGATAGTTTTTGTCAATTATTCGGGCGAAAAAAATAGGAGCTTGATCCATACGGGTTTTTTTAAGACTTTTTCCTAAACATGCAGTAAAGTTTATTTTAAATTCGATTTTTTTCATTCAATAAAGCTGAGTTTGCATTGTTATCCACGTGTCGACTTTCCTCTTTTTCCGTTTTTTTTTCCTGATCTTGGATTTTTTTATTAAATGAGTAAGTTTTTCAGGTTGCGACTCGGGTCCTAGTGCCTTTCGCTCCGCCAAACGGAATGATGCTTCGATCAAAAGCCAAAAACGGTACTAATATCCCAGGTAGCTAAAAATATTGAAATTAAAAAACAAATGGGGTTTTTGTTCAGCTCCGGATCAGAACAAGAAGCGAAAGCAGGAAACACAACAGGCCGAATTCATCGTCCATCCGACCGAGCCGCAACCGAAAAAGGCGCCGAGCAAAGGCCTCTCCGAACTGAGCAATGTAAATTGGAAAACAGTAATTGAGAGAAAATTGATTTTCAAGGGTATCCTCGACTTTCAAATCGATTCGACAAAACGTGTCTCCAAGGCGCCTATTAAGGAGGAGAAGGAGAATGCGAAGTTTTTTAATAAAAAGATTAAACCATTAAGAATACGTTTTCAGCCCAACAGTGAACAAAGCGGCGCCTCAAGGGGTCGACGCAATCCAGCTGTCTTCAAATCCGACGGACCCTTGTCCTAACTTCGACTACGACGCCGAGGAGGCTGGAAACCCTGACAGTGTTTCTGAATACGCCATGGACATCTTCCGTTACTACAAGTCTCGCGAGGTCTTCTAGCTCGAAACTGTAGATCCTGAACTGGAGAACGATTGCTATAGGCCATTCCGCGCTAGCTTGTCACGTTTTTCTTTCCACCAAAAGGCCAGGTCAAATTTAATCAACTTTCGCTACAAGACCTTTGTTTCTTGCCGTTATAAAAGCAGAAATTTGATCTAATTTGGTATACGGGCGGAAAGAAAAACGTGACAAGCTGGCGCGGAATAGGCTATAAATCTTACTTGAAGTTCGCAATCGATTAAAAAAAAATTTTTTTTGAGTTTCAAATTTGAGCGCTGCAAAATTCTCGCTCGACTTCAATTTATAGCCTGCTCAGCAATAACGACCGTTTGGTTTACTATTTGAAACATCGACCTGATGGTTTAAAAATGAAGTTGAGAGTCGAAAAAGTCTCGGTTTCGATGTTTCATGAGAATGAAAAGATAATGTAGTAAAAGCTTTTGGATGCTTCAGCGAATATTCAAGAAGTTGCGAGGATCGAAAAAAAAAGTATAACCATTCAAAATAGATAGAAAAGGATGATTCAATTTTTTGTTTATCTATCAGATTTCACAGTTTAACAGTAACTAATGAATTTGAAACATATACTTTAATTTAGATAATTAAATTTTGAGAAAATTCGCAATAGAAATATTTTCTTTGTGGCCAGTTGCGCGAAATTCAATCCGCGCTCCACCTGACGGGCGGCGCGAGTTTTCGGCTTTTAAATTTCCTTCATTTTGATCCAATTCTCTTCTTTTATAAATCATATTTCCTGTATTTTGAACGGTTGACAATAAGTTCTCAATTTCAGAAGCACTTCCGCATCGCTGATTATCGTGCGAAGCATCCAAAGATTGAACCAACGACTCGCGCGATTCTCGTCGACTGGCTTGTTGAGGTTTATTCTGTGAATATTTCAAATAAAAAATATATGGTTTTAGCTACAAGAAACGTTCGAACTCAACCATGAGACGCTCTACAACACGGTCAAGATCTTGGACATCTACCTCACCAACACGGAGAACTTCATGACCCCGGAGGAGCTTCAACGTATCGCGTGTGGCGCAATGTTTGTTGCCGCCAAGTTTGACGTGAGACTGGAGTTGATCTCTCAGAAAAATCGCTGAAAATTCAGGAGCGCGGCCCACCAATCATCGAGGACATTCTCTACATGGCGAACGACCGATTCGACCGCGAGGTGTTGTTCGCTACGGAGCGCGACGTCTTCAAAACGATCAACTTTGATTTGGGAGCTCCGCTGAGCTATCGCTACTTGCGTCGTCTTGGACGGGTGAATAAAGCTTCGTTATACTTACTAGAAAGGAAGTTAATAAAAATGTGCAAGAAAAAAGTTACGGTTTGTCATTTGAAGACGATGTAAGTATCTTTGCTTTTTTATAACTATAGTCTGTTCAGGTTTTGAATGTCAAGTCGTCGCTCAAGCTCCGCCTATAATGTGGGGAAAAACCAATGATAGAGCGAGCCATTTACAGATTGTTTTTGAATGACGTCATTGCACTTGACATTAAAAATCTGAACAGTCTATATAAAGATAAAGTAAATAGTTTATTTTTTTTAACTTTGTTAGTGGTTCTCTTCAAGCTTATTCATTAGAAAAATTCGAAACAGTGAATTTTTAAACTGTACTTTTTTTGTCTGCTTAAAAAAAGTACAGTTGAAAAATTTATTATGAACTTTTTGGTCTGCTTAAAGGAAAAAAAGGCTCAGAATGATATATTTCATTGTTCTGAATTAATAAATTTTTTTCTGTAGAGATGCCATGAAAGACTGGAAGACTGCCAAAGGCACTTCAGAAAATATTTAAAGTTGAATCGGTCGAGGATCACTTTGCAGGTGACTCGCTTAGACATGGCGACTCTGACGCTGGCTCGTTATCTTCTGGAGATGTCTCTTTTGGTCTACGAGTACGCGTTGGTCTCTTCCAGTCGCATGGCTGCTGCGGCCTATCTCTTGGCCATGAAGATGAAGGACCCGGCGTTCAAATGGTCAGCAGAAACTCTTGATCAACTCCAGTTTCGTTTCAGGACGCCAGTTTTGGAGAAGTACAGCGGGTACAAGGGATCGGACGTTGTCCCACTCATGGAACATCTCAATCACTCGATCATCTACATCAAGCGAAATTGGCAGCAACTCAACAACATTCGCGACAAGTACGCTCATGAGTGAGTTTTTTTATCACCTTTCTTATGAAATATTTTCTTTTTAGTGTCTTCTTCAACGCATCGCTGGTCAAACTGCCGGAGGACACGACGGGCGTCGCCCCCAACGTTATCGGACCACTTCCTCAGATGTCCTACCCTTAAAGTAAACCATTTTTTCTTCTTTACATTTGTTGATATGTTTTTCTTCTGCTTTGCTGTTACCAAAACTGTATCTCAATTTTTCTTCCCATCGTTGTGCTCTTGTTTGCTGTACTTTGTCACGTTCCAGTACCATTCAACCTAACATCTTCTTCGCTTAATTTATTTCGCTCCCCCGAATCGGATGAACTACATCGCAAAAATACTCATTCCCCCCTCCTATTATCCATTATTTTGTGTTGTCGACGTTTGTTTTATCACATAAATTTGCATTCCTTCAGAGGAAATAAATCAATTCTCGTGGAGATTCGCTCTTTTCGGCGCCATGTTCCTCGCTCGACTGTTTAGAAGCTATTCCAATATTTGGCTTTCCTTACTAGGTTTTTCACATTGAAATAAAGTAGCATGCGTTATTTTTATAATATTGATCGTCAAAGTTCCGCAGACTGAAATTGAAGTGTGTAAAAGTATCTCGATTATATTAGAAAAATGCGTTAAAGTTAAATTTTTAGTGAAGACAAAAAAACAAATTGAAAAAAATTATATCCGTCTCCCCTTTTTAAGCTTTTAAGATTTCATGAGAAACAGCAACACTATTAATCCAGTTTTTTTCTTAGTATTTTCCGTAGTAATTTATATAATTTATTTTCTTGGAACGAGGAAAAAGTTTATTGACTTAGAAACTTTGAAATACGTTGAGCTTCTCGGAATCCACTGCGACTCGCTCCAACCGTCGTTTGGTACATTTTCGAATCGGTGTGCTCCCCAGCGAAGCAAATCAAAGGACTGAAAAAGTTGTAGAAGTCAGTTTATTTTTTAAATATTCGGTCGTTTCAAGGTTTCAATACGAGCTTAATATTCTTCGAAAGGTCATTTGAGCTTTTACGGAATATTTCTATATAATCAATAGCTCATAATAAACTTTTTTTCAATGACCCCGTTAAGAAATGTGGATATGGATTATATTTTGACAACAGTTTCCTAATTTAAACTCGAGAAAGAAATTTTTAATCCGTCAAAATCTCAACTTGAAGATCTTCAAAGCAATGGAAAGTTTTATTTCTTTTTTTTTTCAATTTTGAAAGGATGCTTACCGCGTATTTATACCTATCACCGGCTCGCCTAGCTTCTCAATCACGTCTTCATGATTTTTTGTGGCTTCTGGCGTCAAATATGAATAACTTCCCATTGTGTATCGATCCGCTAACCAATTGTGACTGAAATAATAGGAATTGAAGATTTTCAAAGAGTTTCCTACGTGAATATCCGTTTCGCTTCCTCAACTGGGTATTCTTTCAAGTTCTGCTTCAAATGTGAAGAAACTTCTTGAAGAATTTCGGACTCGGACATGCGCGCCATCGCTTCAGGACCTTTTCCAGCTATCCAAGCGACCAAAATCTTAATTTTTGCTTGTAGTATAGACGATTGACGGCTAGCTTGGGACGCAAAAAGGCGTGGCCTGTCTGAGCTCTCCACCAACCAGGGCACTGTCTCGTCTCTTTTCGTGGCAGGACCCTTTTCTCGATGGCTCAAGCCAGCCGTGAATCAGCGTTATAGTCAATGTTTCGCGACTTTGAAGCCGAGGGAGGCGATGCAGGGGGCGGGACGCGTAGCGTGTGCGTACGCGGTTTTTGGCACGTGTTCAGTTCAATCGCCAGCGACTCTTTGGAAAGCCCGTTTTTCGCTCTTTTCATTCCCTTTCCAATTATTTTATGATTATGTTCATGTGTGCATCAAAAAATAGCAGAAAAAGTGAAAAAGAGCGGTTGCCGAGCTTTTTAAATATTCGGCGGTGATTGAATTGAACTGGCGCCAAGAACCGCGTACGCACACGCTACGCGTCCCGCTCCTTGCCCCGCCTCCCTCGCCTTTCAAGTCGGGAAACATTGACTATATTTTTAGAATTTTTTTGAGCAGAAATTCTCAGAGTTCGAAGTGAAAATATCTATCTCATGCCTAAATCTTATAAACTCGGTAATTCTAAAGATCCCTGTTCAGCTTTATAAAAAATTCCGAGGTTCAACTCACATTTTTCTCGCCCATGGACTTGGTTGAAACATCATAAAGTTGTCTCTCAAGTCGTTTGAAGGGACCATAAGACGTGCTGACCAGAAGTGTGTCGACGTCTTCTGGCCACCACGGCTTCTCGTACTCCAGAAAGACCTTCTGATTCCTTCCAAATCCCATGTCCTTGATAGCGGACTCTTGTTCTTGGGGTAGTCGTGGTAAGAAGAGAGTGTAGACGTTTGCCTTCAGATAACCAAGGGGAATCGTTACGATGACGTGGTTGAAGACGTGAGCTTCTCCAAATGCTGTTGTGATAATCACATCTGAAGTGCAGAACTTTTGACGCAAGATAAAATGTTTGAACCTTTTCCAGATCGATAATCGATTCTGGAGATCGGGGCGTTGAGTATCACCTTTCCAACATCGATCTGGTCGACGTAGGCTTCCAGAATTGCGGCATATCCACGACTGTTGAGCTCAAAAGAGTCGTTATGATTTGCGCCGTCGTCCCACTCGTCGAGATTTGCCATCGCGAGCTGAAATATCTTTTTCTCACAAGAGCGTGTTCGAATTATCACCTTTTCCACTGGAGCTGACCACTCTGTCTGAAGGTAGTTTTTGAAAAGCCTTCCTAATTGTTGAAGGACGCCTTCTTTGAGTTTTCCGTTCGATTGAGTCTGAACTTCGAATTTTGAGAAGAATATTTCATGCAGAGGAACGAAACCTTCATCCATTTTTGGAAATGATAGTCGTAGCGGTCGGCCACCGATAAAGTGTAATATTTATCCAACTCGGCCTCGTCTTCTAGTCTTTCCTCAATGTTTCTCGTAAACTTGACAAACTCCTTGAGATCCTTCCTAAAAATTGGATTATGGAACCTGTTCAACGGTCTCCTTACTTTTCAATACGAGTTCCATCAATAAAGATGGCAGTCGAAGACTGAGAGATGTACTCGTCAGGCACGAGGTCGTCGTTGTTCTCCATGATTTTCAAACTTTCAGCGATTTTGTAAATCTCGTTGTCAACGCCGTTGACGTACTCGGCGCCATGTTGGAGATAGCCATCGCCTGAAAGTTCCGAAATGGGATGCAAGATTTTTGAACAAACCGTATCCGAATGGGTAAATTCTTCCGCCGATACGGTCCTTGGCCTCGAAAATGATGTAATCAATGTGGTTCTGCTCAAAAACTCGTGCCGCTCGAAGTCCTGCTATTCCAGCTCCGATTATTGCGACTTTCGGCTTCTCCACCATTTCTTCTGAACTTACTGGTTTGATAATTTGGTATTTGAATTAAAAATCGTTAGTCAGAAACGGTTTGGGTGGGGAGAAGAAAAAAGAGAGAGTTAATGGATGGTTAGATTCGCTGTACTTTGAAAAAAGGTCAAACTTGATGAAGCAGACATGAGGATTGAAAGGAGCGGTATCAACATTAGCTGTAAAATTCAATATTTTCGAAAAAAAATCAATGAGCAACTTACAGTTTCGAAATGTGTAAAACTACAAGTAAGTTTTTGACAGACTACAACGGTAAAAGAGAAAAAGCTCTTGGGAAAACAAACAAACGGAGGCCAAAGAATGGGTCGACTAGACTTGGAAACTTCATAGGAGCCGAAACTAGAATGAAATTGGATTTTTATCATAAAATAATCTTTTTTGAATATCATGAACTACAGACAAACACAGAACGCTGAGAAAATCGAATAGAAGAGAAAACATTGATTTTTTCCGTTGATATCTTATCATTTTTCAATTCGAAATGATAGCGCTACATTTCTTTTAATTTTAGTTATGATAAGATTTGATAAAAATTAATCTAATTATAAATGGAAAAGCTGGAAAAGTTTATGATATTTAAAAAGATTTCCTTCTTTTAATATCTACTTTCGCGTAAATTTAAAAACTTCAGGGTTTCCCCAAAATCCTAGAATCTTTTGCTTCATATTTGATGGCTCTCATTCAATAGCACTATTAGTGGTAAACAAAAGTGCTCGTCGCAAGAATAGCAAAAAGTTTTCTGCGTTCGGGGGGAATCGAACCCCCGTCGAATGCTTGGAAGGCATCCATGCTGACCATTACACCACGAACGCGGACGGTTTGCGTCGCCGAAAGTTTGCACTCGACAGGCGTCTGCCGCGTGGTGTAGTGCGTAGTTCGGTTGCGCTAATTTTCAAAGTCTATCTTTTTTCCTTCTTTTAAAGCTTGATTTTGAGTGATTTCAAAAAATTGATACTTGATTCTTCATACTATTAAACTTGAGGCGCTGGCCCGAACAACTATGAATATCACATGATTTTCCTCATGAAATTGTTTTGAAGTGTTCGATCGATATCACGTAGATTGTCCTCACGACGAACTCAACTAGACCGATCATTGATCATTGGAAACTGTTTGACGTTGTTTCCCGTACGTGTCCAACCACACGCGCAAAATTTCATTATAAATGGATTGGAGCTATTGGGCGAGTACCGCGAGTCAAAAACCAGTTATTTTGAGATCAACGGAACAAAGATTCAGTTTCAGTTGCTGAATGGGACCTTTTTTGTTCAGAAAAAATTAAAATATTGAAAAGAAGACATTATCAGGAGTACTAAGACTTTTCCATTTTTATCTCTTATCTGGAGATTTTCGCTTTTTTTGGTCTGCTTAACTTTTGAGAAACTGAATTTTGGTCTGCTTAATTTTTGAGAAGCTGGATTTTGGTCTGCTTAACTTTTGAGAAACTGAATTTTGGTCTGCTTAACTTTTGAGAAACTGAATTTTGGTCTGCTTAACTTTTGAGAAACTGAATTTTGGTCTGCTTAAATTTTTCAAATTTCAAGAATTCATGCCAGGTTCAAAGTGATTTCCGCGATATGAAAATGTTCTCTAACTCTCCAAATTTTAGTTATATTTTTTTCTTTTTTTCTGGCTGCCATTTTGCACTTCGTGGAATCACTTTGAACAAAGCATTGCCGGTTTGCTTAGGTCGATTAAAATCTTCTTTCCGATCAATCCCCAGAACTTTTAAGTTGCACCATGGTCCCACAGTCTCAGTACGCTTATAGAAATTTTCATAATTTGAATTTATTCATATTTCCCTCTTTGTTTGATTTCTCTGATATATTTCATACCAAGTCCTTTTTTTTATGAACATCGCACAAAAAAAAAAGTTATCTTATTTTTAGAATTTTCTTGATATTTATATTTTTCTGTTCGAAGGAAATGTCGTCGTTCTGTCCCTCCAAATAATCTGTACGGCTTATCAGCGCCAAGAAACACTTCTACGAATATTTATCATTGTTGCAACCTAAGCGTTTCTCTCCCAAATAACCAATCACCAAAGGTCCGTCGTTCTTTTTTTTGCGTGGCTCCGCGAGCTTGTTACGTTGATAACCTTGCTCCTGTGTGATAAGCGGCAAGAGTGGAAAACAAAAGGCCGAATGAAAAAAAGAGAAGTTTTTTCAGCGATCGCCTTCTGATCAGTCACGGCTTGAAGTCAGTTGTTTCAGTTTTTCCTTTGGTGTGTAATGGGTTCAGACTTTCCTTTATATTCAGGTTCGACTCAACCGTTTGAGAAGAAAATAATATTCAGAATTGTGATCGAAAATATTTAAAAAACTGGTCCAAAGTGCAGATAAAAAAATACATTTTTTATAACGTCAACTTTTTTTTTGAAAGAAAATTATTTTTCAAACAGAGTTTTGAATGAGTTGTCCAAAAATCTGTTGCTGGACCATATCCGTCTAATAACCAGAAAAGATGGAAAAAAGCGTGTGGCTGAAGAGGCGAATTTTTGGTCTTTCCGAAGAACCGCGTGGCTGAGTCAACAACTGGAAAACAAGCTCCCATGGAGCATCTCGTGTCCCGCATGGCCTATTTCCGGAGAATTTGTGCTCTTTGAGTTTTTTAGCATATTCTTTTGAATTGTTAGCCAATTTTTCAAGTAATGCAGAAAGGAAGGGTCTATTTTTTTGAAAAAGGAAATTGTTTTATTATGTTTTTTTACATGAAACCTCCGTACGGATACTATTTCTTGATAGCTTTGTTTTGGTCTGCTTAAATTTTAAAAAGGATTTTTGGTCTCCTTTAATTTTGAGAAACAATTTTGGTCTGCTTAACTTTTGAGAATCTAAATTTCGGTCTGCTTAACTTTTAAGAAGCTGAATTTTGGTCTGCTTACCTTTTGAGACGCTGAATTTTAGTCTGCTTAAACTTTTCAAGTTTCAAGACTTCAGTTCTCCTAGAAAATAAATTCTATCCTTTTCAAAATCCTAGACTGAAGCCTTTTTAATTTTTCGGTTGTCTCAACATGTTGATGTTCTTCAACCAACCAAACATTAGTGAAACTTTGGTTGGAAAAGAAGGTCTTCGAAAAATTTAGTTTTTCTGTTTCGAATTTTTTGATTGTTGAGTCTTCGGCTGGGCGAATTGTTTTCAGCACAAGGATCCCAGACATTCGCTTCCTAATGGTCTTGTTTTGACCTTGTCCTTCTTCCCTAGTTCTCATTTTTCTCTCTCAATACCCCCGATCGATTTCGTCCATGTTTTAGGGTCATTCTCTATAGATTTTCCTTGGGATTGGAAATTTCTTGTTTTAAAGATCTATGCGAGATGTTTATTTTCATCTTTTTGAAGTATTTTTTACGAAATAATGAAATATTTTCGAATTGACAGCTCGTTCGGTAGTTTCTTCGTCTCGTCATGGGTTTTAATAGAGCGGAAAGGAATAGTGATCTTTGCGCGCTTATCTCGGTAATTAGTTGGAAAACTGGACATTTGGTTATGAGCTATCTATTTTTAACTTTTTTACGATCAAAATTTTTTGGATGAAAAGCTTCTTCTCGTGCAAACAGACGAGCTGATTTATATGTCTGGGCTTTTTTTTTTGAACACTTTCCAAACGAAGATTCCTTTTCAGCCGTTATGTTTATGCGCTATGCGTTTGTGTTGAGAGAAAACGGTTATGGTCGATGATCTTTTCCTTCTTTTTTCCACTTTTTCTTTTCTTTACTGCTCGTTCGTGTTTTCAGTATTTATACGATCAGTTGGATATTTTGCAAGTTATCATCTGCGATCTACTTTTTGATTTATTCGGGGCGAATTCTAGGGGTGTCAGCGGACACTAAATACCGGGAAATTCTCCGTAGTTTTTTTAGGGTTAAGAAATTTTGGTTAAAGGGTATCAAATATCAATCGAAGCTCAAACCTTCATCCGTTCGAAGTTCTTTATTCTCTCAACTTGCAAAAAAGAAATATCCCATAAAAAAGGGCGGAGTCACGCGGAGAAGAGTTTGGACGCTGTTGTTGGGTCGCGGCGTGTGGTTGCTTGGTCTTTGGTGTCTTCGCCTGAAAAAAAATTTCCTTCCATGTTTTCTTTATTTCTCCGCTGCCGCCGTTGACGCTGCCACTGGTCCGTCTCGCTCTCTGTCGCCTCTCTCTTTTTCGGTCCGTTTTTTCAGTCTTTCCAGTTTTTCTCCCTTGGCTTAGGCTTTGGAATCTTTCCAGGTGACTTTTGTGCTTTTTGCAAATTCTTTGAAATTTCTTCCGTGTTGGTGTCAGCAGGTCGTATTTTCGTGAATTTTCGGAGTTCTTTCGAGTAAAATTTATTTTTTTCAATGGTAAACTGGTGAGTTTATATTATAAATATTTTTTTTTACTCTCTAAAATTTCTGCATTCCGTTTCATTAGAAGTGTTTGCAAGAGCTTTTCGTTAGTCGAGTGGGAAATTCTTAGCATTTCACCGTTTTATTCTTTAAAGTTGTCATAAATGGCCATTAAAAATAATGATTTTTCGATAAAATATGTTGAAAAGGATTTTAAGTTAGCTGTAGACATAAATTTTTTCGTTATTTTCATGCTTTCATTTAAATTTTCGATTCTGTTTACCATTTTCGAGAGTTTCGAAATTCATATTTTTTCAAATGCTCAGTCTCACGGTTGTTTTTGAAACATATTTCCTGATTTCTTGGTTCTTTTTGTTGTGGATTTGGAAGAAGGACTTTGATGCTTCTGGAAAAGAACTTTTGTATTTCCTTCTCTTGCTTTCTTCAATTACTCGTCGTTATTAGGCCTTTCAGGTGTAGGAATCGTTCAAAGTTAATCCGTTATTTATATTTGTGGATCTTCTTGGATTAGCTAGGATTTTCTGATGATTATAGAAGGATTTGTGTTAAAAGTGTAAAAATCAGGACTTTCAGGGGTTTTTCGAAAAAAAGGCGAGACAAAAAAATTAATAGTTCTTAGAGATTTCTATAATAAATAAAATTTTACCGAATCTGCATCGTAGCAGGTTTTTTTGCATCTATTTTCCCGACAGTTTTATTCTTTTCCCATGATTTTGAAATATCAAAGTTTATTCCAAGAGCAGGTTGTTTGCACAGCAAAATGGTTCTGATATTTGGTTCCGGTTTCCCATATCTTTTCGTGTTATTGGAACATGGCGCTTTTTTCTCCACTTTTGCATCTTTTCGTTTTCGGTATTTGTCAGCAGATTCCGTGATGATTTTCGTTTTGCCATTGACAAATTGTACGGTGATCGGTAGTTGAGAAATCGGCTGTTTTTAAATGATTCAAAAAAAGAAAGAGATTAATTTAATAAATTAAAAAAAAAAATTGAGTTTCATATGAACACTAAGAATAACTGACGAGATAAATGCGAGGTCGGTGGCGGTACATTGACGAACTCGCAAAAATGTCGCTTTTTTCTAGGCGCGATCTCGCATTTTTCTCGGCGCGACCTCGCATTTTTCTCGGCGCGACCTCGCATTTATCTTGCATTTCGGAAATTTTCAAATTGCGAGAGAAATGCGAGCTCGCGCCTAGAAAAGTGCGAGCTGGCGCCCAGAAAAAAGCGAGACCGGCGCGAGAAAAAATGCGAGATGTTTGCGAGCTCGTCAATGTACCGCCAGTGTCTCGCGTTTATCTCGGCAGTTATTCTTAGTAAAGGAAAAAAAATTCTATCGCGTAAGGTTGGCTGTATTGGTCGTATGCTTCCTATGCACACTAGGCATTTTAGGTTACGCGCAGTTTGTACGTGAATTATCGTTTTCGTTTTTTTTCTTACTTTCTGATAGTTTTTCTTGACTATATTACCTTTTATTTCTCATCCACCCAAATCACACGATCAAGAATGGAATGACTTATCTGATGACCTCTTATCAGCCAAAGTTCGCTTCTGTTTCTTGCCTCCTTCTTTATCTCTTGTCTCTTCTTTTTCATTACCCCGTAAACAAATTATCCTTCTCGTCGTTTCTACAGTGTTTCTCAAGTGTAGTTTTTATGTTTCCGTACTTTGAGCGCCGATATTGCTTGTATCTTTGGCCTCACCACTTTTTCACGCTAGGTTTGTTTCATGCTTTCTTCAATTTTCTTGTTTTTTGTCGCAAATTCGAATATTGTTGTTGATTCACAAGGCCGTTTGCGCGAACGTTTTTGTAAACACGAGTTTTCTGATTTTATTGTCTGTTGATTCAGATTTGAAAGTTTCGAAAGGAAACTCGACAACTAACAAGATGCGTCTCGTTTCGAGACTTCCCGAGTTGGAAATCCCGAACAAGACCTTCCATGACTACATCTTCGACGAGTTCGCTAAGTACGGCGATAATGTCGCGATGGTTAGTAATATTTTGAAATGTTTTCTTTGATTTTGTTGTTCTTGTAATTGAATTAATTTGTTGTGTTAGCGTCAATTTTTTGGTGGTATGAAAAAAACACCAGCGAAAATTCAAACGGCGACTTTTCCGATTTTTTCATATTGCTAGGGAACTTTACGAAAGCCAACTTTCCGATTTTTTTTTAAATAAAATCTTTGTTTTAAATCTTCCTATATGGTTTATGATTTAAACGCAAAGAAATAGGGAAAAAAATTTTATAGGTGTTTTATAAACCGAAAATATCAGGGAAAAAAAGTCAAAAGGGATCCGTCAGAAAGGTGACCGTCGGAAAGTTCCCTAGCGATATGAAAAAATCGGAAAAGTCGCTGTTTAAATTTTCGCTGGTGTTTTTTTCATACCACCAATTTTTTTGTGCTGGTGAAGGTTGTAATCAAAAGTTCTAATTTTGATTTTCACAACGAACTTTTTTTTTATTAGTTTTCTAAATTTTTTTTAAAACAAACCTCATATTACAGATCAGCAATGACACGAAAATGCAGTACACCTACCATGACTTGATGGAACGCGCCAAATATATCGCACGGGCGCTCGTTTATCTTGGTGTGGAAAAAGGCGAGGTGAGATATTTTATGATAGTTGAGTTCTGAATAATTTTATCTGAGTTGAAAAAACTTCTAATTTTTTTAGTAGCATGGAAAACATTTGTAGGATTTTATTCAATAAATTCAGTTAATATAACTGAAGATTTTTCCTTCATTTTATCAAGGTCAATGGAAAATTATTGATTCAGGTTGTACTCCTGGTGATGGACAACTCGCCAGAATGCATCTATATCCCCCTGGGCATTTCCATGGCCGGCGCTGCTGTCCAAGTCACCTCGCCTAAGCTTCAAGCTGGTAATCTAATCAAATATAAAGTATAACGAACATTTCTACGGATTTTTTTTCTTTCCATGTAGGGAATTCCTTGGGAAATCGAAAAACTGATTAGAATGCAAATCAAATGAGAATTTTCCATTTTTGGATGTATTTTTTTATAAAAAAACGAGAAAGAAGCTGTGAGTTTCGAACTTTGGTTTGAAAAAGGTTAAGTAGACCAAAAATTCAGTTTCTCAAAAAGTTAAGCAGACCAAAAATTCAGCTGCAAAAAAAGTTAAGCAGACCAAAATTTAGCTGCAAAAAAAGTTAAGCAGACCAAAAATTTAAATTCAAAAAAAGTTAAGCAGACCAAAATTCAGCTGCAAGAATGTTAAGAGAACCATTTTTTTCTTCAGAAAAAAACTGTAATTTGAAATTGAAAAAAAGCAAATCAAAAATAGAGTTCCTAGAGCTAGGCAGACCAAAAAGCAGCTTTGTAAATTTTTTTGACAACGTTTATGAATTAACAGAAAAAAATCGGTTTTTTTTTTTCCCAAAAAAGTAAATTTAATTCGTTCAGGCGAGATGCGCTTCCCAGTGGAGCAATCCGAATCGAGATTCGTGTTCTCTGACCCCCTCGGCCTTAAGGAAATCACAAAGTTGATGAGAACCTTGGATCGTGAGCATCGGGTTTGTTCTATTTTTGAGAACTTGCAGTTGAAAATCCAAATATGTTTTGTATGTTTTTCGAAAAGTCTAGGAGCTTCTAATTGAAACGATTTTTGAGGCGAACATGTGTGTCGGTTCAGATCGTGTGCACCGGCGCTCGCGAATACGCAGAAGGTTACCCGATCCTCGCCGATTTGGAGTATGCCGGTTGGTTTTTTTTGTTGTTGAAATGGAATTTCATTATTTTTTAGTTAATCAAATCCGCCCCTTCCCAACCATCGATCCGCAACGCGATATGGTCTACCTCCCGTTTTCTAGCGGAATCCACGGAAAGCGCAAAGGAATCCTCACCACCCACGAAGTCATGGTCGCCAAGACGGTCATTGCCCAAAAGTCCGTCAAAAACTACTGTTCGCATTTTAAAGAATCCGTTTCAGTAAGGACCACTACCACCAGTTCGCCAAGGGCGACTACACGGTGACAATGTTGCCGTTCCACAAGCAAATGGGCTTCGAGGCGATGCTCATCGCCTTGCTCAACGGAGTCACCGTCATCACCGAGAAGAACTTTTGCGTTCACACAATGTTGACCTTGGTTCAGAGATACAAGGTAAGATAAAAAAACCCAAGATGAAAGTTTATAAAGTCATTTAAAGGTCCGTTCCGTGCACCTGACGCCGATGATCATGGGAATGATGGCTTTCGAGTCGCAGAACCACGAATACGAGATCGACTCTCTCGAATGGGTCGTCTCCGGAAGCGAGGCCATCAGCGAGGAACTTTTCGACGAGTTCCAGGAGGCCTTCCCCTCCGCCAAGAACGTCGTTCAGAGTGAGTTTCAGTGAAATTTAATCGTGTAACTTAGGGTCCCTAGGGGTAATCTTAGGGACCATTTGAGGTCTCCTCTAGGAGTTTTAGTTAGTGGCCCCTATAGGGGACAGGCTAGTCGGTAATTTTAATGAACTCTGTGCGAAAAAATAAAAAAAAAACCTTTTTTTAATTAAATTAAGCGACCCCTACAGGGACCACTTAAGTTTTAAAGGCTAAGAGCTCATACCCTAAACCCTTATAGGGACCAACCTGATTTTGCCCTTATAGGGATCACTTTTTTCGGCCCTTTAAAGCTATTTTTTTCCCTAACCCCTATAGGGACCCCTCTAAAATTGCTAAAAACGGCTCAGAGATTATCTGAAAAAAATATAGTTCAAAAAAATTAAAAAGGTAAAAAAACTGTATAGTCTATCGAAAGCATAAATTAATTTTTTTCACCAAAAAAATGATTTTTTTTGATAATTGTATCAGAATTTGAGCTACCGGAAAAAAATTTAGGTATTTCCTTAAAAATTCAGACATTTAGGAATTGTTGGAGAAATGCAATTCTTTTGAAGTTGAACATTTATTTTTTTGCGGGTTATTTTATATAAAAATATTTTTTTCGAAATTTTTTTAATTTTTCTTGTCTATTTTCATTATAGGTTTTTTTCAAGTTTTTGAGAAAAAAATGATTAAAAATAAAAATAACTTTGAAACATCTATTCTAAAATTAGACGTTTTTTCAACCAGTGCTACTTCAAAATTATCAGCTGGCGTCAATTCGAAACTAAAGGGTTCGAAAAAAACTTGTCATGCTAATTCAATTTTACGAGTTCTTATCACGAAGCCCTATTTGTTGATCTTTCCGTTGTGAGGAAACCCTGCTGACCATTAATGCATCAAGTTTTGCCGCTAGTGATAATAATAGATTTTTTTGGTGGACAAGTTGGTCGCTTATCAGTCAATAGGTGTGTCATAATCTTCTCCTCAAAAAAAAGTACTTTCCAGCCTATGGAATGACGGAAGTTGGCCTGATTACCCGCAGTGATCCCCTGCAGAAGTACTCGACCTCATGCGGTCACTTGGCGGCTAATTTGGAGCTTAAGGTAATCCAAAGCCTATTATGAAGTTTTTTGAAGGGTTTTTTTCCCAGGTTGTCGACATTTGCACTGGCGACGAGCTCGGTCCCAATCAGAAAGGGCAAATTTTCGTCAAAGGCTTGGCCGCCTGCTCGCCCTACTTGAATAACCATGAAGCGACCGTTGAGCACTTCTTGGAAGGCTGGAGGAAAACTGGTGGGTTTTTATCCACTCCAGCTTCTGGCCGCATTGAGAATGGGTCAAAGCTTCATTTTATCCTTTCAAAATTTTTTACCTGAGTTTTGACAATTCCTATAGTTTTTTGGCATGCTCCAAACTCGAAAAAAAATTGATTTTTGGTAATCGTCATTGAACCATTCTACGTGCGGCCATGACGATTTAGCTTGTCTTGAATTTAAAAACCGATTTTCCAGGCGACATTGGCTATTTCGATGAAAATGAGGAGCTCTACATTGTGGACAAGGTCAAGGAGATGATCAAGGTCTTCGGTTATCAGGTGGGGGATTTTTTTTCTGCGGGAAGCTTACTTAGGAACTCTAGAGTGGTCCCTATAGGGGCCCTTGGCTCTAGGCCCCTAATGGTCTACTAAAGCTTGCAAAAGGGGCCCCTGTAGGGGACATGCTAGTCGATAGTTTTATGAACTTTACGAAAAAATAAAAAAATGAACCTTTTTTGAATAAAATTGGGCGAGCCCTTTATGGATCACTTTTAGAGGCTAAAGGGTCAGACCTTAAACCCCTATAGGGACCACCTTGATTTGACCCCTATATGGACCACTTTGGGACTGTTTTCCTCCTTACCCCTATAGTGACCTCTCTAAAATTTCTTAGTACTAATTATAGGGTAACTTTTAAGAACCCGATTTCAGTAAATTTTTTCTTCCATCCTTCAGATTTCCTCTACAATCTTAATCGAAATAATTTCAGGTCATTCCCTCGGAAATCGAAACTTTGATCATGACGCACCCGGCCGTGGCTGAAGCTGCCGTTGTCGCGATAACTAACGATGTATCTGGCGAAAGGTACTTTTTCCCCGGTGATTTCCAAATGATGGAAGTTTTTAGACCGGTCGCTTTTGTCGTCCTGAAGCCGGATCATCAGGTGAACGCCGACGAAATCAAGGACTACGTCAATAGTGAGTGGAAAGTAGTTCAAGAGCATAGTTTTGATTTATTTTTTATCGTTTCCGAAGTTTTTACAGCATTTTTTAAGGCGTTTCCGTTGAAAAAACTTTCTAAGCTTTCCTAATTAATATTTTAACTCCTATGGGTTCTCATTAAGTTCAAAAGCTTCTCCCTAAAATTAATCTTTAAGAGCGAAATGGGAAAAAAATAAACGTTGAAGAGTTTTTGAAGTGGTAAGTTGAGGCTTTAAAGATTGATTTTAAATCTGCTCAGAATAATTTTTTTCTTCTTCAGTCACCTGAAAACCTTGACGTTCCAAATTATGACTGTCTAAAGCTCTTTGTTTTTTTTTTTGTTTGAAGTAGTGGTGATTTTTATTTTATATTCGGAGAGCTTTTCATCTTCAATTTCGATTCAGAGTGCCCTCTATAAGAATTTTACAAAAAGGCTGAAAATCTTAATTGACTTATCAAAAATTTTGAAATTTGAACCTTCAGAATCTGAAGAGAGACGAAGTGTTTTGAAAGTCTGTAAAGATCAATTTCCCTATCAGAGCTTTTGAAATGGATCATCGGATTTTAGAATATCCATGCGGCCCTCGTAGAAAAAAATGATTCCCCTTTTTCAGAACGTGTGATCCGGTACAAGCACCTGGTGCAGGTTAACATCGCTCAGACGCTGCCGCGGTCGGCCTGCGGAACTCTCCTCCGACGGCTTCTCGCCGAGGCGGCCGTCCTCAGCGTCGCCTGCCTTTCCGACATCGAAAAGTCCGTCATCGCCTACCCGCATTGTGCTGAGTAAAGTCCTGTAAATAATATTTTTCTTCGAAAAATTTTGCCATTCTCTCCCCGTGCATTCTTTTCTGGCTGGTCTTCTCCTCATTTGTTCCTTTACTAAAACTGTGCCTTCAATATTATGGTTTAGTCATTGACCTATTTATTCGCTTGTTCAACTAGCCTCTCCCCTTCTAAACGTTGAAAAATGACTCTAAATTTGGTCTTTTCCTTCAGGGTATTCTGTAGCATTGAATTGATTCGAATCTTTCCTTACCTTCTCTCCTTTGCTTTAGTGCCAACTTTGCCCACTTCTGTACCCTTTTCCCATTTGAAAATCGCTTTTTTTTCTCGCAAGGGTTTCGTTTTCCAAAAAAGCGTCTAGAAAACTTGAAAAAAAAACGTGTATTTTTCATAATGCTTCAATTCTTCGTCTATTTGCCTCTCCTGAGATTAGTCTTTTTCTGTCAATAAAAATTGATTTTTTCAGTTTTTTCAAAAATTCTTGTTGATATTCTGCAAAGTACTTGAAGGGACCACCCGAAACACCTAGCGGGTCACGTTTCCCGGCGCTCGTGGCTTCCGTAGCGCAGTAGGCAGCGCGTCAGTCTCATAATCTGAAGGTCGTGAGTTCGATCCTCACCGGGAGCAAGCACATTTTTGCCTTTTCAAAGAAATTTGAGCTCTCGTTTATTATTTTTGATGTTGGAAATGGCCGATAATAGTTTTTTTATTAATTGAAAAAAATTTACAAATCAAAAAAATTTTTGAATTACTGCTTTAGTGAGGCTGTCGGCTTTTTCTGGACCTGAAAAAGCTTTTTTTCTTTTTAAAAAGATGAATTTTTTTCCTTCTTTGAAAGAAATAGATTCCTTCCTTTTTTTCTGAGTTCATAAGGGGAAAAAAACAACGAACCTTTATTTTCATAGATTTCCCCTGATTCCGGTAATTCGTGAACAAATTTATTTCCAAGCGCCGCTTTCTGAAATTTAATTTTCATATAACTTTTTTTAATTTTTTCAAAGTAAGAATACCTGGATGTTCAGAGCGTTTTTCATAATCTTGGCGTGATTCCTCAAGGCGTTTTGATGAGCTTCCATCGCCATATTTTGCTGCTTTTTGAACAATTCTTGTGCTTTTTTATACTCCTGAACATTTTGTTAATCAGATCAGAATTTTCCGATTTTCAACGCCTTTTTCCTCATTTTAAAAGCAGTTTCACAAAATTTCAAGTTTGGTGATCCCAAATGCCGTCGCGACGAGAAGAGACCTCTACGCGCTTTGCGTCATTGCTAGCCGTCGGGGGTATAGCTCAGGGGTAGAGCGCTCGCTTTGCATGCGAGAAGTCTGGGGTTCGATTCCCCATACCTCCAGCAATGTTTTTGCCATTCTTACCTCGTACTCTTTTTCGTTGAACGACTGAAAATATTGATTATAAATAAAATTTTTGATGATTTTCCCACCGTAAATGGGTCACTCGTGTCTTCTGAACCGAAGTTTTGTTTTCTGAAGGGCTGTCATTTTTAATTTTTGAATTTCAGTGCGTTTACCTGATGACGGTTGTCGTCCAAGTGTTACCTTGTGGAGAAGTTCTCATAGAATAGAAGCCACGTTCTTCGCCACCAGGTATGCTAGAATCAAAAACCTATTTTGAAAAACAAAAAAAAGAGAAAAAGATAAAAAAAAACTCACAATCGATGGAAATGCTGCTCAACTGGTTGAAATGGCGAAATGACCTTTGTGCTCAATGGATAGTCAGTTTCAGCTTCACAGATTTGTAGTATAGTAAGAATAATGAAGATTAGGAGCATTCTGGAAGAAAAATTCAACTCTGAAAAATTGGAAAAACTTGAGTTTCAATATTTTAAATTCAAAGCGAGCTATGGAAATGATATGAAAATAACTGTCATGATTTTTTTTTCATATTTCCAAGCCTTAATGGAACTTTAAAGCTGGACGTCGGCAACTGAACAAATAAAAATATTTTGAAAGGGGCAGAAAAAGTGGAACGATTGGCGGATTATTTCATTTTGCAAGAATTTTCCGGTTTTTGAAAGCCTCAAAAGTAGGATGCCGATAATTTCACCAAAAAAGGATTTCTGTCATCTTTAAATAGTCAACAGGGAAACACGTTTTCGGATATGTTTAGCGAATTTACTGCACTTTCGTGTTTTTTCAAAAGATCAAAAATAAACTTTTCATTTCAACAAAAGAAAAAAAAAACAATTCTGCTATAAATAAATTACGTTCAAGTGAAGAGTCGCAAAGAAGAACACTTATTTCTTTTCAAGTTCGTCCCACCAAACGAAGTTTTTTTCGATTCTCTTGCAAACATGAGGTAATATCATCTCTCTGGGCTCCAGTTTTCAAGAGCTCGCAAAAGGTTCTTTCGAAAACCCAAGGGCTAATTCTCCCATCTAAGGACAGTTTCAAAAGTTCGTTTAATCTTCTGTATTGCTCTAGATTTATCAGATTTGGTTGATCCGCTGGTCCTGAAAGGGAGCTCGGTGCGGGAATTTGGCGCTTGCGTAGATACCCTGGGCTTAAACAGGGCCTATGCGGGGCTAAAAATTGCGTATCGAGTGATCGGCGGTAGCATCCACGGGTGCTACTGACCGACAGAAGAGGGATCTGAATGGTTTTGGCCTGCTTAAAGTTTCAAAAAGCCGACTTTCGCCCCACAGCAACAACTCAACAATTTCTTTTTCAGCAGCACCTCGAACTACAGTACATCGGAGTTTAGCCAAGTAACCACGTCCTCTGACGGCAGCTGCGTCGACGTCGACGTCGCAGACCTTTTCAATGGAATAGTGAGCTCAAAAACGTTCTTTATAGAGCTGAGCATCCCAGAACTCGTATGAAGTCAACCTCTCGCGTCTTGAAACACCTAGGACGACGTCAAGTTCGGCCAGCGGCGTCTCGAAATCTTCTTCGATCGATCGCCGAGCCTATCGAGATGACAAAGCATGCGATTACGTTCTGTGAGTTTCGTCAAATATCCCAAAATAATCTTCTGTTTTCAGTGAGCTCGGGTCAGACCTCGGCGCGTTCGCCTTGTTCAAAGGTGGCCGCTCCCGTGGACCTGCCAAGGCCAGGTCGAAGGCCTCGAACCTCTCGAAAGAAGTCCCCCACACTGTCGCCGACGTCTTCTGCGGCGTCCTGACTCGAGCCGAAGCCGAGCAAAAAGTTTGGCTCGAAAAGTTGCTCCATTGACAATCTTCTCCAGGCGTCTCACCGTGCACCGACCGTTTTGTACTACTTGAACGAAAACGAGGAGACTTTGCCGGTGAACTTGAAGATGCACATGGCGATCCGTCGGCGTGACGGAAAAATTGGGTACATTCCTCGGGGGAAGACTTGAGTTTCGCTTGGTTTTCCAGGCACTATAACGTGGTCCACGAGGTGCTGCAGGGCTGGAAGTGCTTCCGACTCGAAAAAGACGACGAACCGAGATTCCCGACCCTCGACGGCCTTGTTTCCCACTATTTGCTAATGGCTAAGGTTAATAATCTTTAGATTTTCCGTCACCCCTTAAACTCCGCCCCTTTTGCCGTAGATCAAACTAGAGGGCGTTGTTGGGGGCGCAGTTCAGAAAAGGCAGGATAGATGTTGGTACTACATTTTCCACGACTTGAAAAAAGATTCTGATCGCGTTTGGAAGGGCACAAAGTGCATAGGCGGTATGAAAAAAGCGGAAAAGACTCTAAATTAGCAAAATCTCTGTTAATTTATAACTTCTGACCTTCAGAACCACACTAGCGACAGCAAAATGACGTCAACAAAATCTTCGAAAAGTGGAACCCGCACCGCCGAAGTCATCCATTGATTCAGCTTTTGATTACTTTTCCCCTTTTCCTTCTTCCCCGACATCTTCTCATCGAACATAAAGATTAGGATGTTTTCTGAAGTACTGAATTTATTCTTATCATTTTTATGCCATGAGTCCTCGTGTTTTTTGATAATTTTTCGGACTTTCTTGTTTCCAAATGCTTCCTTTCGTGTTGGTTTCATTCGATTCGCAGAAAACCGTTTTTTTTGTTTTAGAATACTGTACCCCGTACGGCCGTCGACACCGCGTCATTGCGGAGGAGGCGTTTTATTTTACGCGAACTTTCTGGCGATTTACAAACTTTTTTAAAAATTTTTTCCAGTTTCTTTTTTTTAGAGAATTTGATAATTAAATACGTATCGATTTTTACTAGGGATGACTGAATTTTACGCGTTTTTCAAGTAACTGTACTGAGTTAAATTAAGTTTCAATAATTTCCACGAAATCGTGAGTGTTTTTTTGTTTTTTTCAAATTTGTGTTTCGGTAGTAGTTTTTTTTTATTTTTAGAATATATTACTTTTGTTGAAACCAATTATTTATCAACTTAGTGAGCAGGGATAGAAAATTTAAAAAAAGGGAAAATGCAATTTTTTCTGTTTCAAAATTCTTTTTTTTTTCAATTTTTTCTCATTAATTCACATTCAAAACGAATTATTCTTCTTAAAAAAACGTCTTTTTTTATCGAAAAAAACTCCGATTTGACTGAAAATGGCGAGTTTGTTACCCTAGACTGAAATGATTGTTTTTAGGTCTTCGCCTTCAAAAAAATAACTAATTTTTTTAAAATCTTTTTACCAATGGATACAACTTATTTTTGCAGTTTCAGAAGCTATATTTTTGAAATAACAATTTTTTTATCGTGATTGGCGAGTCGGTTGCCCGAGTCAAAAGTTTTTGACCTCTGGGGTCAAAGCGCGAAGAACGTTCAAGAGTTGGCGGCAAACCGCAGGCGGAGAAAAAAACAAACGTCATTATTTTTTTTTACTTCGTTCTGGGACGGTGTGTTGCTGTCGCTCGTTGTTTTAATGTTTCTAATTTTGATTTTTTTTTGTTGTTTTTAAACGGAATAACTTTGAAAAACAGTAAAATCCTTCAGAAACTTCAAAAAAATACTATTCCCGATACATTTTTTTGAATCATCTTACGAACTTTTTTTGCTTGAGAGATTTTTATGAAATTTAGAAAAAGTTGATAATAATTCAGATATATAGTGTGTATCACGTGTTCTTGCTCGTTTTTTTTTATTATTGTCATATCATTTCAATGCTTTTTCCAGGCGGCTCGCGGTTCTTGAAGGATGATCGTGAGCTTCTCAAAGGGAGATTTAGGACCCTCTGAAGATAAGTTGATGATATATTTTGCGAATACTAATAAATTTATTCAGCAGATTGCATTGGGTCATATCCGGCGTCGTTTTCAAGAAGGTCGACCGGCTTGGGATGGACGGACGGTCTTTAGGAAGGAGGCGGACCCGAGATGGTATAAATATAAATTGTTCCTTGCGTGTTGGTTTTTGCGTTGAGGAATTTGAAAGATTTTTCAAAATTTCATTGAACAACCCAGTTTTTTCCCATATCTTCCTCAAATCTTTCCATTTTCATTCTCATCCATTAACTGTTCAAAAAAAGCAGTTTCTCAACGCAAAAATTTTTGTAGTCAAAAACGTTTCGTTTTTCTTCTCGAAAACTCATTTTCTAATATTGTATTCAGATTCTCGAGATTTAGTTTCGGAGTATTATCGCGTGAAGCCTTGTGATAGTTTTGAGCGGTAGTTTTCAAAAAGCGATCGATAAACTAGGTCAAAAAACAGGGCAACGCGGTTTTTATTTGTTTCGAGCAATTTCTCGAAACTCCATGGAAATTTTAGAACTTTCGCAAGTTTATACTGGATGAACTCATCAAGCCGCTAGATATTCAAATTTTTCCCAGTCGGTCTTTTTGTTTTCAGATCTTCCCTGCTGAAAATTTTCTAATTTTAAGAAAACGAAGCAAATTCAGTCATCGTTTAGCTTCAATATTCGAAAATGCGCACTGATGATTTCAAAAAAGAAAAATTCGGCTAGACGAATTATGAACAGTTACCATAGTAAGTAGGTGCCAAAATGTCATTTTTTTATTTTTTTAAAAAAATTTTAGCGCTACAAGACCACGTCTCCACTTTTCAGTACAGTTTTTCATGATCTTTTAGTAGTCGAAGCGAAATTTTCTAGTTTTCATTGTTTCTAGCGGCCAGTGGTTGTAAATTTAGGAAGGAATGATTACTTTTTACAGTCCCAGAGCGACGCGGTCGCGCTGCGGTCTTCATCGATTTTTTCAAATTCTTCTTTTCCTATTGATTTTTTACTGTAATTTCAGGCCTTTTCAGCAGTAGTTCAGTCCAGTCACGGCCAACTTACCAAGTCCCAAGCTACCGTACTCCTTTCGTTTCGATACACGACTTTGAACATAGAAATTCATGGATTCAGTTTTTTTGTATTTTTTTAAAAATCTTTTTCTCATTTTTTTATTGAAACTTTAGGAACCTTTTTTTGGCGGCTTGGCAAGTTCGCCGATGAAAAAAATAAAATTTAAAAATTTGTACGAGATGATGAACCGCGACGCGACCGCTCTGCTCACCCCAATTTTTGAATAAAGTCTTCTTCTTTTTCGAGTAGTCTTTTTTTCTTTCAACTTTTAGGTTAGCAATGGTTTCATGTGATAATACCGTTTCAAATAAAGATCGAGTTTTCGAGAAGAAAAACCATTTTCTGTGCACGTGTATATGTCGTCCTCTCGTGTGAATGTTGCCGGATCGGGCCTTTGGTCGGTGGCGGCGCAGAGAAAAAGACGTCTGTATCCCTCGGCTCTTTCTGGCCAGAGAGAGCGCCCAAAAGGTGGAGAGCTGTAGTCTGGCGTCTCCACGTCAGTCATGCTCTTTCGCCGGTTGCAGCCGAGCATACATGCGCCTTTCTTTCTGTCAGGTGGGAGTACTGTGGGGCGAGGCTTTTTTTCCTTCCGAGCTCGTCAATTCGATGGGGGCGTCGAGTATTGGATTGTGTACGGATAAATTTGGTTTTTCTAAGAAAATAAAGTTTTTATCAGCCTTTTCTCTAATATATTCAAGTTGGTCAGTAGCTGTTCTTGAACATTTGAAACAATTTTGAAGTCAAAAATGAGTTTCAGATTTCCCTATTCAAAATCTAGGCTGAAGAAGTCGATGTTTTAGTTCTCTAATTTTCGAAAATTATACGCTTTCTTTTCTGCTACTTTGTCTCAAATCCGAAAGAGACTTATTTTCGAATAGTCGAAAAACTTTTCAGTATCAATCTTGTAAATCAAAGTTTTCGATTCTGCAAAAGATTAGTGATCAGTTTCTCGAGAGTTTTAGAAGTTTATCGTATTTATCAAAGATAGAGGTTCAACCAATGGAATTTTGATTATCGCACATTATTTAGTGATAGGAATAGTTGTAGAATAATTAGCATAAGTCTTTTTTCAATTTAGGTTCATTATTTTCCATGATTTATAGACTTGACTGGCCAAAATTCAAGCGTTCGACATTTTTAGAAGTTTTCTAATTTTTCTAAATGTTTGGTTGTTCCATAATCATGAAATAGAATTAGGTGGATATCCGTTATTTATTTGTGTTTCCTTCTGGCTCACTATGTTCAGCTTTAAAGTCGAATGTATGAAAAATATAGGTCTGTCAAAAAGATTTAAAGTTCAAATTAATTTTTTTTAGTTCAAAAATTTCTAGAATTTTGAGAAAACTCCAACTTTCAAACATACGGCTTCTAACTCTTTTTTTTCAGTTTAAAAAAATGAGCTTTCAATAATTTTTTTATTCAGTTATTTAGAAGAAAAAAAGCGAAGTTTAGTTGTACACAACCTGATACGTCACCCCAGCCCATGCGAAGATACTCAATTTGGTGGTTGGTGTAGTGGTTCAGAAGCGGTTTTGGGAAGACCGAGACGAAGGTTCGAAGCTCTTTTAGGAATTTGTTCCTTTTTTTTCTTTTCTCAGTTCATATCGTTTTATTCACTTTTAATAGCCTGCTTTAGTTTAAAAAAGTTAGATTTTCGCCGAGTTCATCTAATTTTCAATGTATTCCGAAAACAGCCGAATTGAAGTAAAAATAAGTAAGGAAAAATGTTAGCCGCGATAGAATTCCACAACTTGATTGCTTCTTGGGAAAATTTCAATTCAAAGCCTTTGTTTTTTTCATTTTATTGTAGACGTAGTAAAAAATCAGCTATTTTTTTAATAATACCGCAAAAAAAGTTCAGTAATCTCACAAAAACTTTTTTTTCGAAAGAGCTATTAAGTTAGAAGGGCTGAATAATATTGCGACTATTCAACTATTTCTTCATAGCTAATCTAACTCTTTAGCTTCATATCATAGGCAAAACTGCCTCGAACCTCCTTCAAAATTTTCCCAAGATCCATTTAAAAAATGGAAGTCTTTTAATCGATTTTTTTGGCTTTTATCTTTCTCAAGCTTCGCAAACTTGAACATTTATCTAGAAGTATCATTAAAAACTGAACCAACCAGTGAATGGAGTATTGTAGCATGTACTGGGGCGCCACCGGACAATGATTTGCAAGGTCATTCCTGCCTCTTTTGTTTTTACCCAAATTCTAGGCTTGGTCCTGAGCCAAATGAGCTCGAACTCCTCCAACTTGACCTCCAGGTTATTTGAAACGAACACGTTGAACATGTGCTAAGTAAAAAGAGTGCTCCTGAAATTGAGATTTCTTGAATTTCAAAGTTCATCTGCAAAGCTTCAAAAAATTTTATTTTTTTGTTCAAAAAAATTTTAGTCAGTATATCTCATTAATTCTTCGACCAAAAAAAGTTTATAAAAAAAGTATTTTCAAAAAAATTGAGTTTGGTTTTTAAATTTTTTTGCGATTAAAAATATCGCCAGCTTTGCACATGGAATTTGAAAGCCAATTGGCATTTTCAAAAAAAAAAAGTTAGGACTTTTTGGAAACTTGCAAGTTGCTTTTCTGACTTTTTTTTAAACATTTATTGAAGTTCTACATGTTTTTTCAGTCCATCATAGTCGATCACCTGAACAGAAAATATCTTTTGGCTTCAAAATTAGGTTTTTTTTTCAAATGCATTTCAAAAATTTATTAAAAACACTCCAAAGCTTTCGATTCATGACGTGATTGATTGTGATGGATTGAAACAGGTGTTGAACAGCTACAAGTGTTGGTAAAGAATTTTTAGGTTTAGCGACTTGCATAAACATCTTTTAGAATGAAAATAAAAAACTTTGAGCACTCTTTCATCATAGCACACGTGCAACATGTCGTATCAGATGACCTGGAGGTAATTTTGGATGAGTTCGAGCTCACTAGGCTCAAGATGAAGCTCAGGACTTGTGGGGAAAACGAAAGAGGCATAAATGACCTCGCATGACACTGTCCTTTGATGAGATCGAGAGGAGACGGAAGCCTCGTCTGACAGAACTTTCACTAGGCCTCAAGCCTCCTACTAAAGACTTGGCCTCGGGCTCCAATGCACTCTGGAGCCTGAGGTCAAGGCCTCCGACTCGGGCTTCACAGCCAGCCTGTGGAGTCTGAGGCCGAGGTCTCTGGCTTGGGCCCCTAAGACTCGAGCTAGAGACTCCGCCTCAGACTCCAGAGGGGGCTGGGGAGCTCGAGAGCGAAGGCTCCGACCGGCAACACGTCACCCGAGAGGGGAGGCCGGCAGCGGCTCTGACCCTGCCGGACAAAACCAGGTACAAAAGGGGAAGGAGAATACTTTATTCAATTTCATGAAACAGAGTGTCCGGTTCGATGCCGCCCTCGGAGTACGACGTCGTCCGGCATCCATCCCGGCTCGCGTCTCGACCGGCGTCCATCCCGTCACATCACTCGACCTGAAATTCTCCCCATTAGCCCCCTCGATTATCTTCCTTCCTGTCTCGGAATCCTCCAGCCCTGTTGCCACCCGGGCGTTTTCCCCATCGAATGGCTCAAGGCCAACTTCCTTTTCTTGTCAAGACCCATGTGGATGGCTGACTTTCTTGGAAGCCTCCAAATAAAGAGTCAATTTTTGCAAAGTCACACAGAAGACCAAAGTGGAGCTTTTCAAAAAAGAAGTCCATTGAGACACACTCAAAAAATCCATAGGAAAGGTAAAGGTCCTCGGAAGAAATCATGTCAAAAGCTCAAGTTTCCTCTGAAGTAATGTTGATTTTTTTTTGTCTTGCAAGCTTCTGATGAATAAATTTTCGATTTTTCTACACGAGTTTTTCGAAGTGCCATAAAAATGAAATAGTCAATGTTTTTTCTTTCAAGTCTTGGAAAGAAAAAATTTGTCGAAAAGCTGGAATGGATTGTCAGAAAAAACGGCTAAGTCTTCAAACTCAATGAGAAGGTCGCTGTTTTTTTTTCCCATTTTTGACATTTATTTCCAACATGAAAGAGCCGTTGAATTGCGAAGTCATCCTTTAACAATTTTCAAACAAGTTATAAGCTTAGGAAGTGTAATTTCAAAAAGGGAAGAAATTACCTAGCTACGACTACTGTTTCACCAGATTCTTGCAATTCAAATCAACAAAACTTCAGAGATCCTAAAGGGATTCGAAATTTTGTTATAAAAAGTTCAAAGTTCCATTACTTTTCAGCGAGTCAAAAAAATCAATTGATAAGATCAGATTTGGCTTTCAATGGACTTGTATTTTCTTTTTTGAAGAGCTTCTCTTGGCCTTCTGTGGGGCTTTACGAAAATCGCCTCTTCATTTGAAGGCCCCCAGTCAAGTCCGACTAACGGCCACAACTGCTTCGCCAAACGATTCATTTTTTTTTTTTTAATAAATCAATTTCTGTGAAAGCCTTGCGTTGCAGATCCTACAAGTGAACAAAAAATTGATAAAAAGTTCTGAAATTTCAACTACAACGCTTTAATAAACTTCTCAATACACTAGAGGATGCTAGTTCAAGACTGTGAACTTCAAAAAATTGTTGTAATTTCGAGTTTTTCTGAAAGCTATGCTTCAAAATGTGTAAACTTGGAAAATAAAGCTGTGCTAAATCTTCGTTGACTGGAAATCCAGAGAATGATGAACTTATGTCTACTAGCCTAGTCAAAAGACGAGAGAATTATGAAGCCAACCATCTTCAAAAAGTTCGAAGGAAAATTGAAGTGACAAAAGTCTGATTTCAAAAAAGAAAATTAGATCTTCGCTCATGAGTAATGATTGACTGCTTATTGAAAACTGATTTGTTGAATACTTTAAAAAAAACAAAAACAAAAAAAAAAATCTCAGAAGCCATCTGCATGAAAATCTACAGTTTGTAAAGCTCTACCGTTATGAAACTTGAAGTTCGTAAACTCGAAACCTTATTTGACAGAAAAAAAAAACTTTTCTGGCGGTACAAATTCTAAAACCTTTGAATCTGAATACACAAAGTATGTTGGCAGCAGTGAGTAAAAATGTACTTTAAACATTTTTTTTTTCAAACTACTGTGACCATTATAAGTTCATTCACACGAACTCTAATTTTGTTATGTTACCATCTCAATCTTCCCCTAGCTTATCAGTGACGAAATTTAGACAAACTAATGAAAATCTCTGAATCCGCAACACAAGATCACTATATCGACGGCGGAACAAAAATAATCTCTATTCCTTTCAAAATCAAATAAATCGATTGGCAAAGCACTTGAGGCCGTTAGTCGACCATCCACCCAGGCCCCGTAAGAAAAGGAAGCCGACCCTGGGCCATTCGTTCCAGGAAAGTCCTCGAAACCTAACTACTTTCTAAAGTGAAAATAAGAAAAGAAGCGCATGGAAACAAAGTTTAATTTCTTTTTTTAACTATTGAGTAGAGTGAAACAGACTTTGGCACCTTAAAAAAAGATCCGACGAAAAAAATATGGAACGGAAACTGAAAAAAATGAATCAGAACTCCAAAAAAATCTATATTTGAAAAAACATTTTCTGGCGGTACAAAATTCAAAAAAATCTTTGAATCTTAGCGTTGTTTTTTTGGTTGCCAAAAAAAGCGATGCGAATTTATTTTTCTGAAACAAAAAAACCTTTCTAAGGCTTCAATTTTTCTTTAAAGTCTATCATTTTTCTTGATCAATAAGAAATCTTGAACCAGAAAGTTGTCGAACTTTTTTTTCCATGCGCTCATTTTGGAAAGGAGAATGAAAAAAACCTCTGAAGCTCAAAAGAAGGAATTCTATATAAAAAATCACCTTTTTTCATTTATTTTTTTGGAATCTACTTGTTATTAGACTTATTGGAAAATTTTGAATTGAAAAAAAGTGTGCAAAAATCGCCTGAATGAGAAGAAGCGACCTTTCATCCATTTTTGCTAGGAAAATACGGTTTCGAAGACTTTCCTGGGAAGAAAACGCCCCGGTAGCCCCAGTTCTGGATGATTCCGATCCATAAAAGGAAAGAAATCGATAAAAAAATAAAATGCAAAGTTACCGTCTTCCCGGCCGTCGTTTATCCTTCCAGGCGTCGTTGGCAATTTTCTGAGAATATTTTTTTGAATTTGTAAAAAAATTCATTTTTTTCAAAAAAAGTTGTTCAAAAACTCAAAAATAATGGATTGAGTGTCCCGCCGTTGAACCGTCCTCCCATATGAGCTTCTGAAAATGATAAGTTTGGTGAATGAATTTGTATATTAATAAGCAAAAACGTATCTTTTCCACTTTTTTTTGAATCCTCCACATTTTCGAGGCTTCTTCCTTCCGTAAATCTTCCGAACGCGCCTGAAAATCGGCAATTTTTAAAAACTTTACAAGGAATAATAACACGAAAAACCCGATAAACTCGATAAAATTTGAAAAATTGACGGAAATTTAAACATTTTGGATGCAATGTACCAGCTACGTCGCTCTTTAAGATATCAAGTTTCTGTTGATAGTTATAAACATTGAAAATCAATATTGTAATCTAAAAGAAAAAAATATTCAAATCGTTGAAATTAAAAAAATTCCAACTGAAATTGAAGAATTTATAGAACATGCTAGCAAGATCAAAAAAAGGCAAAAAAATGAATATTTTCAACCGAAAAATTTATACTGGCGTATTCTTTAAAGAAAAAAAGGAGCAATCGAAAAATCCTTTGAATGCTCCTTTTTTTCAAATTTCGAGCATTTTTTTCAAAAACTTCTCCTGTTTCTCCAGTGGGCCCGCCAGCAAAGGATCTCCTTGGCTAGTACCATTGAAATAAATACAAATAAACGGCCTGAACACATTATTAGAAAAAACAATTTAAAACGACGAGCGACAGCAACACACCGCACAGAACGGAGAAAAAAAAAAGAATGACGCTTGTTTTTTTCCGCCCGCGGTTTGCCGCCAACTCTGGAACGTTCTTCGCGCTTTGACCCCAGAGGTCAAAACTTTTGACTCGGGCAACAGACTCGCCAATCCCAAAAAAATTGCAGGTTACGCTAATTCAAAAAAAAAAAGCAATTCGAATTACAAAAAAAGAATTTGTATGTATCCATAAAAAAAGTTTTTTTAAAGACAATAACACACACTTTTTTTGTACGAGACAACTCCGGAAAATTTTTTTTGCCATTTTCCGTCAAAAAAAGTTCTTGAATTTTTTGAAAGAAGGAAGTTTGCAACAAGCAAAACAAAGATTAATTTGGACTTTGATGAGAAAAAAAAAATTAAAATTTGAACTCTCAAAATAGTAAAAAAACTCAAAAAAAGTACCCCTTCACTATTTCAAGATTCTATTCTTTTTCAATAAATTGAATATCAGAGAAATCTCAACGAAGTTATATCATCTATGATGAAAAAAATTACTGCCTAACACAACTTCAACAAAAAATATGTATACACTCACAATTTGAAGGAAATATCAATCAAATTGAATTCGATTCAGTAAAGTTTCCCAAAAAGAACCCGGCCATCCCAGTAGAAAAAAAAACAGATCAAACGCGATTATTAAACACACAAAAAAATAAAACGGAAATGAATGAGCCTTTTGAAAAAAAATTTGTAAATCGACGAAAAATTCGCGTAAATTAGAGCGCAATATTCGCAATGACGCGGTGTCCACGGCCGTACGAGATACAGTATTCTGTGACATCAAAAAAACAATTCTCTGTAAATCGAAAATACCACTTTTTTTCAGAGAGATAGATGCAAGTAATGAACAAAAATGAAGAATTAAATGGTTTTTAATCTGTTATTTGCTCTTGTAAATATTTTTTGGATTGATTTGCGACACGGAAAAAACTTCGAGTTTCGCAGGCTCTAAATTGAAAGGATAACTATCAATTTTTGGAAAAGAAGAATGAAGCTGCTCAGGTAATAATTAAAAAACGTAAAGTTCCAAAAAAAAGCTCATTTCCAACGGATGTGCGAGCCTCGCAACGTCCACAATGAATAGAAGCAATAAAAAGGTTAATTTGTCGACTTTTCGAAAAATTGTTCTGGAATATCAGGCTGCAAACGAAAATTCCAAAGATCGAGCAAAGAAATCAAGAGAAACGGACAAGTTCAACAATGAAAAATCGCATGAGCAGCAGCAGCAGACTTTCAATGGTTATTTTTCTTCAAAACTGCTTTTCAAAAGTCCTCACAAGGTTTAAAGGAGCATGGGGGTGAAATTTATTAAGGTCTCAGGGCGAAAAAGTTTTAGCAAGCGTTTTCGACGTTTATATTTCCCTCACCTATAGCGTGAATCGACTAGCTTAGAATGATAAAGGGGCGTGGCCTGTCTGCGCCCTCCACCAACTAGACACTCTCTCTTTTTTCGTGTCAGGACCCGTTTTTGACAGTTCAAGCTTGCAAATCATTTGAAAACCCTCACTTCTCTAACACTCTCCATCCCTTCCCTTTTCTCTAGCTCCTGCCGAAACCGTGAGGGTCGGGTGCAACCTCTCCTCACAACGTTTAAAGGAGCATGGGGGGTGAAATTTATTAAGTTCTCGTGGGGAAGAGTTTTCCAGCAAGAATTTTACGCCTCTCATTTATAGAGACGTAAAGACACATACGTGAATTGACTAGTTGGGAACGATAAAGGGGCGTGGCCTGTCTGCGCCCTCCACCAAATATACACTCTCTCTCGTTTTTCGCGCCATGACCCATTTTTCGATGGCTCAAGCCAGTCGTGAATTCTCTTGAAAAATGCTCCGCTAACTTCTCTAACACCCTCCATCCCTTCCCTTTTCTCTAGACCCTACCAAAACCGTGAGGGTCGGGTGCAACCTCCTACCAAACTCCACCATAACAATCTCCAATTTCAGAAGCGCCAAATGGTCCGGGTCCGCCAAAATTACAAGGATCCGCTGAAACAATCCCTTCGGGGAGATCAAAATTACTCAAGTTTGACGTAAAATCAAATATTTCAACGATACAAAAGCTTCAGAAATAAAAAATCGGTGAAGCAATCGATCAAGAAGTTGCACGGGGTTAGAAGCTCAGAGAGACAGTCGAAAGTATGTATTCCTGATCGGAAATTGTAAGGAAAAGCTCATTTTCAGCCGATTGGCAGCAAGAAGGAGAAGAAAAGAGGGGTGAGATTCGGGTAAAATCCTTTTTGGTACAAATAATCGATCTTCAGGTACCGAGTGCTACATCGGTGATGCCGGAAACGGAAAAAATTAGGACGAATGAACAGGTTTGTGATATACTGTATCATTCACTAGGAAAGTTTTGAATGATTATTTTCAGAACGGTGTCAGCAAGAAGGACCGGAATCGGAAGGTTTTATTGATTTTTCCTAGTAGTTGGGAATGGCTGAACATAAACCGCAGCGCGACCGCAACGCATCAAGGGGGTTCAAAGCTAAAACTCATTAGAATGGCTTTGAGCCGTTCCAAGAGGAATAGCCGCAGTTTGAATGGCTCAGCTTGGAACGAGCCGCAGCGCGACCGCGAAGCGTTGATCCATTCCATGTTGAAACCTGATACCGCAGTGGGAATGGCTCAAGATGGCTGCACCTAGAGTCGCATCGCAACCGCGACGCAGACGAACCGCAACCGCGAAGCGTTGATCCATTCCAAGTTGAAAACCTGATACCGCAGTGGGAATGGCTCAAGATGGCTGCACCTAGAGTCGCATCGCAACCGCGACGCAGACGAACCGCAACCGCGACGCGTTGATCCATTCCAACTTGAAAACTGATACCGCAGTGGGAATGGCTTAATGTGGCTGCACGTAGAGTCGCACCGCAACCGCAACCGCGACGCGTTGATCCATTCCAAGTTGAAAAACTGATACCGCAGTGGGATTGGCTTAATATGGCTGCACATAGAGTCGCACCGCAACCGCAACCGCGACGCGTTGATCCATTCCAAGTTGAAAAACTGATACCGCAGTGGGAATGGATGGCACGTAGAGTCATTCAATGTGGCACGTAGAGTCATTCCAGGGTCATAAGAGAATAGACGCGATTGAGCCATTCCAGATGACAAGTTTTTGGGAATGGCTCGATGTGAAGCCTGAAGATCAAAGCATTCCAAAGTCCTCAAAAAGAAGCCGACCATTGATTGATTCCAAAATTGACAGAACCGGAGCTCGACGGCGGTCGCCGAGAAGAGCGACGCGAACAAGGACAACGACGCGTCGGTGTTGATGGACCAGAATCAGGTCACCATGCCGATTTCCAACGTTTTCACGGCGCCGACGCTATCGCCCGCCACCACCACCATCAACACCAACAATCCTCTCTCGGTTGCGCTGACGGGACCCTCACCCGGTACGTTGACCGCCCTGCCGCCCGCCACGTCTCCAGCTTCGATGACTTCTACCGTCCCGTCGGTTGGGTCAGTCGATAGGAAATGACGTCAGAGATTCAAATATCCAGGTCAAAAATGTCGTATGATTCATATCTATCGGCTCCCATTACGTCAGAGGGCCAAGAAATCCCAAGGGGTGGAAATTTCCAAAGTTATTTATGTCAATCGATAGGAAATGACGTCAGAAACTTAAATATCCGGGTCAAAAATGTTCTTTGATTCATATCTATTGGCTTACATGACGTCAGAGGGCCAAAAAAAATCCCAAGGGGTGGAGATTTCCAAAGTTATTCACGTAAATCGATAGGAAATGACGTCACGAAATCAAATATCCAGGCCAAAAAAGTCCTATGATCCATATCTATTGGCTTACAAGACGTCAGAGGGCCAAAAAAAATCCCAAGGGGTGGAAATTTCCAAAGTTATTCACGTAAATCGATAGGAAATGACGTCACGAAATCAAATATCCAGGCCAAAAAAGTCCTATGATCCATATCTATTGGCTTACAAGACGTCAGAGGGCCAAAAAAAATCCCAAGGGGTGGAAATTTCCAAAGTTATTCACGTAAATCGATAGGAAATGACGTCACAAATTCAAATATCCAGATCAAAGATGTCCTAGACTTCTAGAGAAAAAGATATTATTTTTCAAAGATTGTCCTTTTTACTAGATTTCTAGGAAGCTGGGTACTTGGAGATCTTGTTTTTCTAGATCACCTTGATCTCCTTTATCGATCGATGTATGATCTATATCTATTGGCTTCCATGACGTCAGAGGGCCAAAAAAATCCAAAGGGGTGGAAATTTGCCAAATTAATCATGTCAATCGATAGGAAATGAAGTCAGGGATCTAAATTCAACAAAAAAAAGTTTCTGTAGTGATACAACCCGACAAAAAATAAAAAAAAAACCTCAAAAAAAGTTAAAATAAACTTTTCCATTAGATTCCGTTGGAAAGGTCCTTGTGCGGAAGTGTTGAGCAGAAAAAAGCCGAAATTTTTTTTAAAAAGTCATTTAGAACAGGTGTAAGGTGAAGCTTCGTACCTTTTTGAATTTTTTTGAAGAGCTTTTTAGAAGCCCTAATCTTCTCTCTGAGGATTTAGGAAGGTTCGAAAAGGCCTTTGGAATCTCTAAAACTTACAATTTTGCATTCATGGAAAAAAATATAAGGCTTTTTCAAGGAGAAAATACTTTTTGAAAAATTTAAGATCTTTTTGAAATTGTTCTAATCTCATCTATTAACTTATCAGTACGAAAATATAATTTTTCTCAAAGTTTGAATTTTTTTTTCCTTCAGAAGCTTTCTGAAGCTTCTCGAAGTTCGAAAATTTATGAAGCCTTTTTTATTTTTCGCAAAAAAACCAATAATTCAGGAAAACAACGGAAATGACAGTGGAGAAAAAAGAAAAAACAAGTGCTGAAAAAAAAGATCAAGCGAGAAAGGACAGTGGGACAAAAGAGAAAGGGAAGAAGGAAATGAGCAAGGAACTGCACAAGAGCAGCAAAACCAAGGTAGAAACTTGTCTTTTTTCCCATTTTTCTGAACTTTCTAGGGATTCTTAATGCAAAAAATTCAACTTCTAAGCCTTCTTTTTCATACCAAAACATTATTTTCCTCATTTTGAAGCAAAAAATCGGTGACGAACGACGGCCCGAGAATTCAAACGATGACAGGGCACCAGGGGAACGTCACAGTTAAATTAAACAAAAAATTAAACTTTGAAAATTTCAGAAAAGAAACCAGCGAACCGATGGCAGAAGAAACTGCAGTTTTTAGCGGTAACTAAAAATTTTTTTTTCTAAATTTCCCCAAAAATTCCAAGACATCTGCCTAACAGTTAAGAAATGAGGCCGCGGCAGTTGGCGAATCCTGGCCGCCAACGCTCCCGGCCCATTTAGTATAGTGGTTAGTACTCCACGTTGTGGCCGTGGCGACGCAGGTTCGATTCCTGCAATGGGCAACTTCTTTTTTTGCCATTTTTTGAAAAATATTTGGAGCTCTTTTTAGGCTTCAAAAAATGGAAAAAGCAAAGAATTGAAATTACCACCTTTTCAAGACAATCGGGAACCTTCGCGAGGGCGACGTCTACTTTCCGGCGATAAGTCGGATGCTTCGGATGGACAACGCGAAAACGTCGTCGGATCGTCGGTGGGGCGAGTATACGCCGGAAGTTTTGGCCACCTATCCGCCACCGGTCGAGTCACGCGAGCTGTTGAATAACGAGAACGACGGGAAGCTCTTTGTCATGGTGAGGGAATTTGACTAGGCCGAAAAAAAAAGGCAGAAGTGCCCGAAAAAATGCTCTGAAGGCCTTGAAAGCCGAATTTTCGAATGAAAAAGTGAGGAAATGTGTAATTTTTGGAAAATTGAGATACTTTCTGTAGCTTCTTCGCAACTGTGTGCGTTTTGTTTTCTGCAAGATGGACTGGGAAATTTTTAGCGATCACTTTAGGGTTTTGATGTTTTAGTGACCACTATAGTAGTCGATTTAATGACCACTCAAGTGGCTAAAAATTAGTGGTGTTTGAGTGGTACTACTAGACTACCGAAAATTCTAGAAGCTTCTATAGAGGTTGTCTTAGTGGTCCCTTTAGTGACCTCTCCAAATAGTCCTTAAGGCATCTCTTAAGTGGGAATATCCCATCGTCAGGTAAAAGAGATTTACACCGTAAATTAGGCCATAAGCATCAAATTTGATCGAAAACCCACAGACAAAAAGAAAAATAAGCCCAACTGCCTTAAGAAAATGAGCCTAACCTCCACAAAATCCAGGGGAACCCATTCTGGATCGAGAAAATGAAAGAGATCCCGACGGTAAAGCTGATTTCGAAGGTTCTTCTCGAGGAGCACGACGGTCGGTACGTCCTGACGCCCGCTTTGCCCCCTCCGTAGGTTCTGGAAGACGATTCTGGATCAATATCTGAACTTCTCAGGGAGTTTGACGTCTACGCGCCGGTTGAAGAGCTCGTTCAACACGACAAACACTTTGAGGAGAAGCTGGTTCGTGACGGGAGCTCCAGAGCGGTCCCTATAGGGGCACTTGGAGGGTCCCCTCTAGGGACAACTTCACCACCACTATAGGGGCCACTGAAGCTTGTAAAAGTGGCCACTAGAGGGGATGAACTCCATGTGAAGAAGAATTTCCATGGGGAAAACTAAACAAATAACCTTGTTTGAATAAAATTGAAAGACCCCTATAGGGACCACTTGAGCTTTAGAGGCTAAGGGGTCCGACCCTAAACCCCCATAGGGACCATTTTTTCGGCCCACATAGGGGCTTTTTTTCCCTTCAACCCCTAGAGGGACCACTCTAAAGTTCCTAAGTATAGTCAAACCTTTCCGATTTGAAAAGCGAGGAGCTCTTTTTTTCCCTGACCCCTACAGGGACCACTCGGGCGCTTCTAGTACATCGAATTGTAGTGTAAAAATAACCAACCGAATTTTATAAGACGAGAAAAACGTTTTGGAAGCTTAAAAATGACTGGAAATCCGATTTTTCCTCGAATATCAGTTTGTAGTGGAATAAAGTTACGGACCCTTTTTCAAACCAATAATTTTTTTCAGATGGTGAGTAACGTGATACGGACGATCAAAGAGTTCACTCACCCCCCGGGAACAGCAGCCAAGGTAAATTATTTTCGAAAAATTATTTCTTCCGTAAAAAGTAAAAGTTATAGGGAGAAAAAAATTCTCCTACGGGGGTATACTAAAGGACCCCCTACGGCACTCCCTATAGGGCCCTTTAAATCTTAAAATCTCTTTAGGAGCCACTTCAGAAGAAGAAAAACCCCTACGGCGGTATACCAAAAGACCCCTACAGCACTCCCTATAGGGTTCTCTAAATGTTAAAATCCCTTTAGGAGCCACTTCAGAAGAAAAAAACACCATAAGGGGGTATACTAAAGGACCCCCTACGGCACTCCCTATAGGGCCCTCTAAATCTTAAAATCTCTTTAGGAGCCACTTCAGAAGAAGAAAAACCCCTACGGCACTCCCTATAGAGCCCTCTAAATCTTAAAATCTCTTTAGGAGCCACTTCAGAAGAAGAAAAACCCCTACGGCACTCCCTTTAGGACCCACTAAATTTCAAAAATCCCTTTAGGAGCCACTTCAGAAGAAGAAAAACCCCTACGGCACTCCCTATAGAGCCCTCTAAATCTTAAAATCTCTTTAGGAGCCACTTCAGAAGAAGAAAAACCCCTACGGCACTCCCTATAGGGCCCTCTAAATCTTAAAATCTCTTTAGGAGCCACTTCAGAAGAAGAAAAACCCCTACGGCGGTATACCAAAAGACCCCTACAGCACTCCCTATAGGGTTCTCTAAATGTTAAAATCCCTTTAGGAGCCACTTCAGAAGAAAAAAACACCATAAGGGGGTATACTAAAGGACCCCCTACGGCACTCCCTATAGGGCCCTCTAAATCTTAAAAATCTCTTTTAGGAGCCACTTCAGAAGAAGAAAAAAACCCCTACGGCACTCCCTATAGAGCCCTCTAAATCTTAAAAATCTCTTTTAGGAGCCACTTCAGAAGAAGAAAAAAACCCCTACGGCACTCCCTTTAGGACCCACTAAATTTCAAAAATCTCTTTAGGAGCCACTTCAGAAGAAGAAAAACCCCTACGGCACTCCCTATAGAGCCCTCTAAATCTTAAAATCTCTTTAGGAGCCACTTCAGAAGAAGAAAAACCCCTACGGCACTCCCTATAGGGCCCTCTAAATCTTAAAATCTCTTTAGGAGCCACTTCAGAAGAAGAAAAACCCCTACGGCACTCCCTATAGGGCCCTCTAAATCTTAAAAATCTCTTTTAGGAGCCACTTCAGAAGAAGAAAAAAACCCCTACGGCACTCCCTTTAGGACCCTCTAAATTTCAAAAATCCCTTTAGGAGCCACTTCAGAAGAAGAAAAACCCCTACGGCACTCCCTATAGATTCTCTAAATCTTAAAATCTCTTTAGGAGCCACTTCAGAAGAAGAAAAACCCCTACGGCACTCCCTATAGATTCTCTAAATCTTAAAATCTCTTTAGGAGCCACTTCAGAAGAAGAAAAACCCCTACGGCACTCCCTATAGAGCCCTCTAAATCTTAAAATCTCTTTAGGAGCCACTTCAGAAGAAGAAAAACCCCTACGGCACTCCCTTTAGGACCCTCTAAATTTCAAAAATCCCTTTAGGAGCCACTTCAGAAGAAGAAAAACCCCTACGGCACTCCCTATAGATTCTCTAAATCTTAAAATCTCTTTAGGAGCCACTTCAGCTTTTTCCAGTCTTTAAAAAAATGAGCCCATAACTTCAGGAAACTCCCGAGCAGCCCCGTAAAAATTCAAATCCGCGAGCCAAGCCACCAATACTACTACAATCGGTTCGTATCTTTTTTTCAATTCAAAAAAATAGTTTTCAAAAATCTTCAGGAGAAGGCCATTTGACGCACCATCGATGAAAAAAAGTTAAAAAGACGAAAAAGGCAAATTTTTTTCGCCTTGAACTGGAATAATGTGAATTTTTTTATTTTGTTGATTCAAAAAAATGGGTAAAATTTAGCAAAAAGCCCAAAGCGAAAAAGCCCACCGAAGAAGAAGGAGAAATCGAAATGAAGGCGAGGAAAAGAACACGAACAAAGCAAATATTCAGAGTATTAACGATGATGATTTTTTTTTTGGTAATTGAAGTAAACTTTCTGCGCATTTTCGGTGAGCGCTTGCGACAGAGAAAAAAAAGATGTAATTTAGAAATTCTTTTATTTTCTTCAGGCAGTATGACAACGAGGTTAAGTGATTTGGGGTATATATATATTTTTTTTTAATATCTATCAAAATGGTAAAGGGGCAGTTAATCCGAAGAGTTCTGACGTTCAACTTTGGGGGTCTTGCGGAGGTTAATAATAGATAAAATGCCGTTCTACCGCAGCTTTTCGACCACCTTCAATTTTTACACATTTTGAGCCATCTTAAGGCTTATTTTCATTGATTTCTAACCTTCGGTCATCAAAAATGTGTCATTTTCAGCAAATTTTAAAAATGGGGAAATGGTCGAAAAGTGCGTTACTCTAGAATGTGGTCGAAATCCAGTGGTCGAGATGGTCGAAAAGCTGCGGTAGAACGGTGAATAAAAATAATGCTAAATAAATGATCTTTTCAAAAAATCTTAAACCTCTGACAAATTATGATCTTGAAGAACTTGTAGACACACTAAAGATAAACAATTTTCGTGGAGTCTTTATGCGAGATACTTTGCCAAATGAAGGAATTAAAGAAAGAGAAGTAGGTATGTAACTCTATGATTGCTCATAGAGAAGACATGATAACAGGAAAGCCTGTTAGAAAGAATTTAAAAACACAGATTCTGACAAAATATTTATCTTTTCAAGGAATTACTGTAATATGTTACATATACAAAGCCATTATTGTTTTACAAAGCGAAAAGATAGCTGCTCCGAGTTCATGTCTTGAATGGAGATTTTCAATTGAAGCATTGCCTTCATACCCAACACGTTCGCGCCTTTGAAGTGACTGTGTGAGAGGTCGCACTCGATCACGGAATTTTCCTCCTAAAATGAGACATTTGAATCACTAAAAGTATAGTCATACAATTGAAAGTATAAAAACTAAACCTGGATAGAGACAGGAAGAGCCGAAGGAATCGCGTCGGAGCCCGTGAGTTTGCTGATCGTTTTCTCATCGAGGAATGTGCAATTCGATCCCGTGTCGACCAAGTACCACACTTTGACGATTGGAGCACTAGGCTTCTTGGCACGACGACAGTTGAGGCACACCATTAGTCGATTATTCGGTCCGTAAATAACGCCTTCTACAGGAAATGCTGGCGATGTGAACGATCCAGCACTCAAATTTTCGATGCCAGTGTAGTCGCCGAGCTGAAAACATAGGATTAGAAATAAGATAAGAAAAAAAGTTAGAACAAAACATTATATAATATTATTAATAATATCTCACATGCTTGAGACAAGCGTCGTTGATGTCGGTCAACATCATATCATGTTGAAACGCCGGCAGTGCTTCCATCATTTCGAACGAGTCCTCCTTGCTGTCAGACGATGAGGAACTCTGAGGAACTCTGAAAATGAAAAAAAAAAGTAAATACCTTGTTGAATTCGCTTTCCATCTTAGACATCACGGAAAGAAACGACGGAGAAAGGAGAGCGGTCTGAAAATAAACAATTGAACGATAGTTAAAATCAAACTATCTTTAATAAATCTACATTATAAAAATGAAAGAATGGGCATGCTG